CGGAGGACAGGATAGTAACGAGGAATGAAGTTGCTGGTTAGGAATTCAGGACGAAAAACGATGACAGTGGTTGGAGACGATGGGCGTCCCGATGCGGCTCTGGAGGCAGGGATTGGGTATAGGAAACAGGAGGGGAAGAAGGGTGCTAGTCAGGAGTTCGAAGCAAGAACTGCAGACAGCAGTAAAGAGGAAAATAAACCAACACGGCACTGCAAAGAAAAGTAAATTAAAACAAACCTGATTTTGTGAATAAAAGGAAAAAAAGCAAAATCAAAAAATTGGAGCCTGTAACCAAGACTAAAAAAAGCAAAAGCAAACAAAAACTGAGCTTATGCGAGTAGAATTTGGCTTACAAAAACCCGTCTTCAGTAAGCGATCCTCGCATTTATGAGGCTTATGCTTAGGTAAAGCTAAAGGCTAATAAGTTCGACAGGATTTACTGAAGCTTTGCTTAGGTGAAACTGAGGGCAGGAAAGTTCGACTGGATTTACTGAAGCTTATGCTTAGGTGAAGCTGAAGGCAAATAAGTCCGACTGGATTATGTAAGAATTGCTGACAATTCCACAGTGTTGCCTCTCGCAGCTTGCAACTGTGCCCAACAGTTATACCTTTGCTTTTCTTTGTCTTCAAAATCTCACAGGAGCAAAGACTGACTTTATCCCCTGGCATCCATTTTATCCTGTTTTTGCCCATTTCATGGGACTTATTCGCTCTCAGCTTCACCTAAGCATCAGTTTCATAAATAGGAAAGTCTGATGGCGGGTTTTTATGGAACAGCTTTACCTAAGCATCAGTTTCATAAAAAAGGAAGCCCGATGACGGGCTTTTTTGGGACAGCTTTACCCAAGCATCAGTTTCATAAATAGGGAAGTCTAGCGACGGGCTTTGTGGAACAGCTTTACCTAAGCATCAGTTTTATAACCCAGGCTGGAACGCACTAGGCTCTCCCGTGCGACCATGCGTTTTTGCACTAAACCCGCAGATCGCTATTAGCAAGAATGATCCCTACGCTGTAGCCTAACACTTCGGCTCATATTGGCCATGCTTTGGCCCCTTCCGGCATGCAAAAGGAAGGGCATCAGTTGGGATGAAGGTGGTGCATTATAGAGCCGCAC